GGGAGTGTGGGGGGTTCAGGGCGGGGGCCAGGCAGCTGCTGGCTGCATGGCGTAGGTAGTGCTTGGGTGGGCATCAGGAGGCCGCGATGCTGGGGGTGGCCAGGGGTGCAAACTGTTGGCTGGCCCATGGCTGCAGCGCCAGCAGACCGTGTGCTATGCACTGAGCAGGCCCGGCATGCATATAGGGTTTCAGCCAGGCACCCGCCCCCCCCCCCCCCCCCGTTGCATGGTGGCGGCCAAAGCCGCATGGTCTCTGACATCACGCCCTCTGCTTCCTTGCCCTGCTTCAACAGCCATACGCGACTGTTGTCGCAGCAGCGGTCGCTACTCACCCTGCACGACCGCGCCCATCATGCCAGACAGGAAACCGCCGCCACCGCCCTGCTGAGGCATCGCCGGCGGCGGGGCCGCATGGTGAGGGGCTGCGGGGATGTGGCGGAGATAGGCAGGGGGCAGTGAGGCATAAGCAATATGGAGGCAGACGAGAGAGATTGTCAGGAACACATGATGTGGGGAAAGCGCGCACAGCAGCGGCGGCAGCAAGGTGCGCCAGGTCCGCTGCTGCTGCCGCGGCCACAAGGTCTTCCTCACCAGGCGGGGGAGGGCTCGGGGCATGCTGGTGAGGCGCGGACTGCGCCGCGGCCGGGCGTGAGGCCGGGCGAGGCCGGGGGGCTGCGAGAGGAAAGTCGACACGCGAGATCATGCGTTGGATGACGCGAGAGGCCAGGATAGGCGGAACATGTTGCTAATTACATACACAAGGCCGCGGGTCCGGGGCCTCACCAGCACGACTCCTGGCCATTTCGCTCTGTTCTGGAGAGTCCTGCTCGCTCCCAGGCGAGGGCTGCCGCAATGCGTATGAGGGCCGGCGCTTTTATAAGCGTGTCTGACGTGGAAACGAAGCTCCTTGACCTTCAAGCCGCGATGGCCGGTGCTGTCGAACGAGGAGGCAGCGGCACCACAGAGGAATCTGGTTGAGCTGCTGTTGTGCCTGAAGCGCCAAAGCGCTAGGCTGCTGCCAGAGAAGAAGCCCTGACAAGAGGGAGGTACGTTCATAGTAAGGACCAGAGTTTGCCATTTATATTGGGTGCCATAGCCCAGACGCAGGGTAGCAGAGCACACCAGCGCGAGAGAGGGGCGGGCTTCATGTGACGGAGCGTTGACGGACTAAACAGTGGCTCTGGGCCCCTTTGGCCACGACATAGCAGCCTCGAGGGATGCTTGGAGCGCAGGCAGTATGTTGCTTGTGGAGGGCGTGGAGGGAGCAGGCGCAGCCTCATGCTGCATCCCGCGGTGGCTGCACAGTTGCACGCATAGCTGGGGCCTCAGCTGTGCTGCTGGGGCGCACTGCACATCACCGGCTGCCCGCCGACAGAAGTGGGCGGAAATTATGCTGGCTCCAATCAGCATCTTTCCTGCACTCCGAGCGGTTGTTCGCAGCAACGCGTTCTGCACAAATGGTGCGGGGCGAGTGTTTGGTGAAGTGCAGCTGCGTTCCACAAGCACCAACACGCGCATTGGTGAAGGTACCAGGCATAGGGCAGCACAGGCACCCTTTCAATGGAGCGATCGTGCACCAAGGCCACCACACGTTCACGCTAGATACCATCTGTGGGCCAGGGGAAGCCACTTGATTGGCATCCTTTACATGTGCTCAACCAGCTTACACACACACACATCAATGCCTAGTATGCTGATGTAGGGCTGTACTGTAAGTTCCTGCTTGCAGAAACGAGGTCGCTCGCATTGACGTAGCATGCATGTGCTGAAGGTGCCAGCGGCTCGCTGAACTTGTCACTGCCTCTTGCTGCACCCGGGGTGTGGACATTCGCACACACACGGGGACACAAAAAACATCGTTTGGCACACACGTCACAGCAAAACACAGACAACGTCTGCGGCCTCAAGGACGCCTGACAAAACATGCAAGTGGTCAAAGAAACTGCTTTTGCTGTTGTCCTGCTTGTAGCACACGGTGGGGTGTGGGGCATGGGCAAAGATGGCACACAGGGCAGTGCTCTACAAAGGGAGTGCTACTGACATGGCCACGCGTGCGTGGAGTGCAAGGGCTAGAGGGCTGCTGTTATCCGGGAGGCCAACCTGCCTCACCCTGATTCGGGGCTGGTGGTTTGTGGTATCCCATGCGAGGGGATGCTAATCAACAGGGAGCAATCGTTCCCCCCTTTTTTGAAGCGCCACGTGCAAGCATGCGACTGCGCCAGTCCTTGCTGTGCAGTTGCAGCCACTGCTACTGGTAGTTGACCAGGGCAATTGGCCTTGCTGCCCCTTCCCTGAAATCATCTCTTAGTTGACAATGTGCACTAGGCTATGTTTTGCCTAGGCTGCAGCATACCCAGCACCTGATTTCCAGGGCATCACCAGGGAAGTTGGACGGCATCGATGACGACTATCCCCTAGAGAGCTCAATCACCACACTGTCACTCGCTCGAGCCATGGCTCATAGGCCCTGGCACGCTGAATCTCTACACAAGATCGTTTGAACGGCGTTTTGCGACCGATATCAAACACGGTAACCCCACATCGTTCCATCAGGCGCAAGATCAATCAAGCCAAACCCCGCGGTGACTGCCGTCGCAGTCAGCTCCTGCGTTCACAACGCAAAACAACCTTGGATCTATTAATAACGCTGTTGCTATACACGACATATGGACACAAGCATGCCTACCGTTGGCTCGCAGGACTTCGCTGTCCCGCTTACAGTTGCACAGAACATGAAAATTGAAACTATGATGCATTAAACCCGCGCTCACAAATACGGCTCCATGGCCCCTCTCAATCCCAATTTTCACGGTGGCAGGCCGCGACCAACTGCCTGACCGACAAACAGTGCAGAGCTTGCCAGAGTGCTGGCCACAGCAACACCCATCCAGTCCCGCTGCCGCTCAAACGTCGGCTGGCTCCTGGATCCCTTCTCGGGGCATCGGGCACGGGCAGGGCCTCCACCCGCGCGCCCCTGGGGCGCGGGCGCCACGCGGGCGCGGGCTCAACCCCCGCCCCGCGGGCGCTCACGCGGCAACGCGTCTTGCGCGGCGCAGCTTATGGCCAACGCTGACCGCGGTCATCAGGTTGGCGGCCGCGGCAGCGCTGTCAAAGAGGGTGTCGGCGAAGAGGAAAGCATCAGCGGCAGTCGCTCGCCCAAGCAGCAGGCTGTTGGGTCTCAAACCAACGATGAGGCCACGGGCCCCAGCAGCGCGCGTGTGCGCGGCGGCGGCGGCGGGCGCAGCAGCGCACGGCGTCAGCGAACCGGCGGCAGAGGCAGAACGGGGGCCAGCGGCGGCGGCGGCGGCCCAGCAGCGGACAGCGATGGAGGCGACGACGACGGCGCCGGCGCGTCAGGCGGGGACGGGGATGAGCGCGTGCGGCGGCGGCGGGAGATCAACCGCAACAGCCAGAAGCGCATCAGGGAGCGGCGCGGCAAGGAGCTGGACGAGCTGCGGCTGGAGGTGGGCGCCTCCCTGGCAGGGGCCTGCGGGCGCAGCGCCGCTGCTCGAGCCCGTGATGAGCTGAGGTCGGTTGGTGGGGCGCCCCCAGGGTTAGTCACTACCCGCACATGTGTCCCTCCCCCCCCAACCTGCCCAGCCCGCCTTGCCCGGCCTGATGTTGAAATACCCTCACCAGGCCCAGCGCCTGTCGTCCGAGAACGAGGCGCTGCTGGGTCAGGTGGAGGCGCTGACGCTGGCGCGCGCGGAGGTGCTGCGGCAGGTGCAGGACCTCACGGACAAGTGGCAGCAGAGCATCGCGGAGAACGCGTGAGTGAGCCCGAGAAGGGCGGGGGTGCATAGGCTCGGCGCGGCGGATTGCGTGACGGGCGCATTTGGAAGATCAGGCGAATCGCCGCGCGCCACCAGCATCTCAGCGGAGCACCGCCCCGCGGCAGCGTTGGCTGCTCATCAGTTAATGGTGCTGAGGTGGACACCTCGCTGCATCCCCGCACCCCTGCATGACCGACCCCCTCGGGTCGCCGCAGGTGGCTCAGCCGGGAGAACATCATGCTGCGCAACGCACTGCAGCAGCTCAGTGCCCTCGTCGCCGCTGGTGGTGCAGCCTCAGCGGCTGGCAGGGCCGCAGGCGCGCCGCAGTCCGTGGCCGGGGGCGCGGCCTCGCCGCCGCCCGCTGCGCCGGGGGCGGGCGGCGGCCTGGGCACGAGCGGGGGCGTGGCGATGGCGGCGGCCGTGGCGGCCCCGAGGGCGGCGGAGCAGTGGGGGCTGTCTCAGTTTAGTACCGCGGCGCTGCTGCGCTCCGCATCGCTGGCGGGGACGTCGGTGGCGGCCGGCGCGGTGTTGCCGCTGCCACCGCTTGCCAACCTCGGCGCCGGCCTCGCCTCCACCTCTGCCGCGGCCCCCATCGGCAGCCTGGCCGGGTCTGCACTTGCGGCTGCGCTTGGGCGCCGCTATGCGCTCCCAGACAGCGGCACCACGGCGGCGGTCGGCGGCGTGGCACGTACGGAAGGCGGGGTATTGGAGGCAGCCGCCGCAGCCGCAGCTGCCGCCGCTGCGCCACTGTCGCCGCTGCAGCCGCTGCAACCGCTGGTGCGGGTGCCGCCGCACCTGGCACCGTTGGACGTCCTGGTTCAAGGGCTGGGCCAGGAGCAACAACCGCAGCCGCCTCACCCACCAGGGCGCCCGCTGCCACCACCTCCTAGTCATCAGTAGCGGCGCCGGGTTCACACCTAGTGGCACCGCAACACCCGGCTCCCCACGCCTGCAACAGCACCGGGCGCATGCGTGGTTCACTCCTGCCATCACCCTCTGATGCATTTGTATAAGGCATGTGTGCTTGTGACTGCACCGCAGGCCTATCACCACAACAAACGATCCCCATCTCTGCGGCTTGCAGTGTGGACACCACTCTCTGTGCGTGGCCATGCACTGTATGGCTTTTTCCCAATGCTGCGACACGCCGCACCACCACCGCCACCACCTTGCAGACACCAATGCCCTCTGTTGAAGCGCTGTTTGGCTCGAATGCCGGTGAATTGCAACAGCTTTGGCAAATCTTCACATTTGGGCAAATGCATGGTGCCCTTCAATGAGATCGCCGCCCCCAAGCTCCCTTTTGATTGGAGCGGGCACGTGTGGCGGCGTGGGGGTCTTCAGGCCTTGAGAACGGCGCACCCTTATCGCCCCGTGGCGATGGAGCCCAGTACGGGTGGCCTGCCAATTTGCCGCAGGCTGTGGCACGCCCCACGTCTCCTACGCATGCGTCGGCAAGCGCAGATCAATGACGTGGCGAGTGCCGTCTGGCGCTCCTCACGTGTGGTCTGCAATCCAGCCCACGCCTTTGTAGCGTCGGGGAGCGCGGGTGCCGCGAGGCGCCACGCGCACCCCACTTTTGGTAGCAAGCTGACACATAGGTGGGCTGCATGCGGCTCGTGCCCGGGTTGATGCAATTTCGGATAATTTGTTCGCAGTGTATTTGCCTAACCCCCTTGGGCTGATTAGTCATTGCATCCTTGCCCTTGCTTTTCACGGATGTCTGTTTGCATGGTGCACACCCTGCTTGATGCCGCCTCGCGCTGCCCGGTGCGCAAGCTGCCGGCAACTCCAGCCACAGGGCTCGCTGGGCCTCTGAAGGCGAGCTTAGCGGCACAACCATTCACGCGCCCAGCGGCGCGCGCATCCTTTGCATAGACCCAATCTTGCAGCAAGTGGCATGCAGCGCGGCCCTAAGCTGCGCATGTGTAAATGCAGCATGTCACGTCCACTCACTGCCGGTCATGTTGTGCTGCAGCGCTCCCACTGGAGGTGACGCAGTCAGTGAGGGAATCAGATGGAGGCAGAGACGCCTGCGCGCACAACCGTTGAAGAGGCCCCGTAACAGGCAGTATCGGAGAGCAAGCAGCAGCGCAGCAGCGCCGGCATCACGGCTGCGCAGCCTGCTCCGCTGGGCATGCCCCGGCTAGGTCGGATGCAACCGCCTCCCACGTCGCCCCCTGCAGCCGCTGCCTCACCGCCAGCACCGCCCGCCCCGCCGCCGCCCGCGCACGCGCCCGCACGCCCGGCAGCCGCGCGGCGGCCAGCAGGCCGGAGGCGACGCCGTCGGCGGAGGGCGCCCAGGCAGGCAGCGTGCACAGCGCGGGCAGCGTGTGCGCCAGGCCTTCCAGCGCGGCGCTGACATCGCAGCCATCCCCCTCCCTGCTGCTGCTGCTGCTGCTGCTGCTGCTGCTGCTGCTGCTGCTGTCGCTGCAAAACAGCGCTGCATCCACCACCAGCACGGCGCCGCCACCGCTGCCGCCGCCGCCGCCACCGTCGGCGGCACCGCCTGCGTGCCACGCCGCCACCATCGCCGCCGCCAGGCCGAGCGCGCCGCCCGGCGCGGCGGCCAGGCGCGCCGCGTGGAGCGCCTCCTGCAGCAGCTGCGCGCGCGCGGCCTGCGGCGCCCGGCACGATGCGGAGGCGACCAGCGGCGCGAGCGCAGCCAGCGCACCCTGCTCATGCGCGCCCGCCGGGCTGGGTGGGCATGGTGGGCTGCCGTCACCGTTGATGATGAGGGCGCGGCAGGGCGTGAGCTCCCGCCAGCTCAGCAGTCCGTTGAGCACCAGCAGGCAGCGCAGCTGCGCCCGCAGCAGCTGCGCCCGGCTGGGCGTGCTGCCGTTGGCGGCGCCGCCAGCCGGCGCGTCCACCGCTGCTAACGCGGCCGCCTGCTCCTGCTTCAGCCGACGCAGGCACCGCAGCGCCGCGCGCCACACGTGCCACTCGCCACGACTCAGGCCCGGCCCGAGCGCCTCCTCTGCGGTGCGGGCACCACTCCCGTCCACGGCGCCGCTGCTGTCACTGGGGCTGCCCGTGCTGCTGGTGGCAGCCTGCGCCTGCTCCTGGGGTCCCCGGCCGCTGCCCTCTGCCGAAGCCGTCGCCGCGGCCTCCCCCAGGAGCAGCAGGACCTGCCCCGGCTGCAGCGGCGGCAGCAGCGGCAGGCGGTCGGCCAGAGCCGCCGCCGCGGACAGCAGCGGCTGCACGACGCCCTGTGAGAGGGGCGGGGGCATGGGCGGGGGTAGGGGCCTTGGCGCAAGCATTGTGTACCGAGATAGGCCCACACCAGACCCACGAGCACAATTTGCTGGTGAGCAAGCGCCTTTCCAAGGTGGTTGATTGGCCTAAGCCAACCCCTCAGCACCCTGCACCACATCACAGCGAGGCTGCCCAGTAACGTCCGCCCACCCTGCCTTCGGCCCCCCTCCACACACCCCCGCTCCCCCCCACCCGCCCACCTTTGATGAGACCGAGGCGTCCCTGTCAGCCAGGCACCTGCACAGCTCCTGCAGCCCCTCCCACGCGGCCACCCCCAGCGCAGCAGCCTCGTCCGCGTCATCCCCGACGCCACGACCGCCGCCGATGACGCCGTCCGCGGCAGCGCTGGGCCGGCCCTGCGGCACCATGCCAGGCAGCCCTTGCAACAGCGGCGCCGCGCGGTTGCCCGGCAGGCAGCGCACCACGTCTGGCAGCCGCCGCAGCAGCAGCGCGCGGCAGCTGGCGGGCAGCTGGGCGAACGCGGCCGGCGCGAGCGCCGCATCGAGCGCCGGCGACAGCCCCAGCTGCGCGGCGCGCTGGGAGTGGCGCAGTATGAGGTCCAGCGCGGCCGCCCTCAGGTCGTCTGAGGCGCCCCGCTGCCATGGCGACAGCGCCCCCTGGGCCGCCGCGGCAGCTGGCCGCAGCAGCCGCCGGCAGAGCGCCTCCCAGCCGACCGCCGGCAGGCG